CGTAGCAACCCCGGTGCTTTCCATGGCATCCCTGCCCCAGAGCTCTTCCCCCAGGGACTGTCACCTGTCCCCATGCCTGCATTCGGAGGCCCCTAGAGCTGAAGGGGCTGGTTCCTGAGGAGAGTCTGTGCCTCCATGGGCCTCTGCTGGGTGCTGGGATGGCCCGCAGTGCCGGCCCGAGTCCATCCACAGGGGGGATCCACTTCAGGCGGCGCCTGAGTCCAGGGTCCCCTCCGCAGCCGAGAGCTGGGCCCCTGGGCCTGTGGGGATCGGAGCCCCGTGTCCGGGAGGAAGCCGGAGCCCCGCTCGCCAGCAGCACCTTGACTGAGACCCTGCCCCCCGTCGACGAGGGGCTGTCCTACAGCAGTGCTGACCGCCCGTCCTCCGTCCACACGGACACCCTCCCTCCGCCCCCTCCCACGCCCCAAGCGGAGAGCGGTACTGGCCACACCCGCCCATGCTCAGAGGACGTGCCCTCCCCGCCCGAGCAGGCCCTGCTTCTTGGGGGCTCGCTGGGCTCCCGGGTGGGGGGGTGCCTCCATGGCCACTGAGGACTCGTCCTCCTTAACCGAGGAGGGTCTGCCGGAGACACCGTCCTTTGGGGCCCTGGAACCTGGGCTCCACTTGGGGGCAGGAGGGCAGGGCAGGGGTCCTGAGGCCCTGTTGGGTGAATCCGGGTGGTGAGGAGTGAGCTCCCAGGGCCATCGGCGCAGCCCCCAGCTCTGTCCATGGTGGCCTGTGTGGTTGGGGAGGGCCTGTCAAGGCCGTTGGTGGCTGGTGACACTTTGAGGGGGGACCAGGCTGGCACAACCCTCCAGGAGGTCTGGGGCAGTAGTGGTGGGCTCCACGAGGGGGCGGAGCTTTGAGAGTTCAGTGTGCCAGGCAGGGTTGGGGCATCTCTTAGCGGGACTGGATGAACCCCTGGGCGCCGCTTCCCCTGTAGCTGGGTCTCCAGGCAGCCAAGCCTGCTGGGCCCAGACCCTGATCAGGAGCTGAGATCCCAAAGCGAAGCTAGGTGAGAGCCGAAGGGCAGCGGCACCCCCAGAGCCTCAGCGGCACCCCTGGAGCCTCAGCGTGCAGCCCCACCCGCAGGCTGTGTGCCTCCGAGCGGTGGCCAGGGCAGGGCCCTCGGGCACGTATGCAAGGAGGGCAAGGGCAGCCTGAGCCGCTGGGTGGAGGCCTCGCTGGGCAGAGAGCCACTCCCCGGGACGGGCTTCCATGGTGGCCCCAGCTTGGGCCCTGGCTCCTCACCCCCACGCATAGAGAGACAGGGTGGTGGACTTGGTGCCCACTCAGCTGACCAGGAGGATCCTGTGTGACTCGTTGGCCATGTTCTCAGAGCTGGCCCCACGGGACCACCCCTGAAGGATTTCCCTGGAACTGCGGGCTGCAGGAACCCGAGTCTCTTCTCGCGACAGCGTGTGCATGCATGTATCGTGTGGGCGCCACCTTCTCCAGGTGGACCACGTGCAAACCAGGTTGCGTGGCCATCCGACACGGCTGCTGCGGGACAGGACCTGTATACCCGCTGCTCGTGGGCTCTGCCGGCGCCTCCCTCGGGGCTTTGAATGGTCCTGGCTGGAAGCTACTCAAGGTGCCACGGTCAGGCCTGTCCACACTAACTCAGGGCCCCTAGCCTCACTCGTGGCCCCGCTGGTGGGGACACGTGCCTGCTTTGACTGCAGGCCGGGGACTTGGTGCTCCTGCTGCCAGGAAGGTTCTTGCAGTGGAGGAGGTTGACCTGGGCAAGTCGGCGTGCCTGAGTGGGCAGACGGAGTGGCACTGCATGGGCCAGGGTTGCTTCTCTGGATCCCAGTGAAGCCGGTGGCTGGTCCTCTGGGACTGGGCAGCCCATGCTTTTCCCAAGTGTGTTTGCTTTGGGGTTGGAAGGCCCTGCGGCAGCCTCTCCCTCTGCTGAGGCCTTCGTGTGTCCAGAGGGCTTGCTGGGACGCCCAGAGTCCCCTCTTCTCAGGAACCACGGTCAGCAAGACCCGTGCCACCTCCTTCCCGGAGAGAGAGAGCCTGTTTCCTGGAGGCCCTCGGAATGACCCAGATGCTTTTGCAGAGACCGCTGCCCCTGTGGGAAGCCCTACGTGCTGGCCAGGCCTTCCGGGCCCGCTCCCTACAGGACTGCCCGCCTCAGCACACTCAGCGGAGCAGAGGACGCTGTCGTTCAGGCAGAAAGTGGATTTCCTGTGGGGAAGATGGGCCAAGAAGGCAGGAGTGAAACAACTGGGGATCTCCACGGGGCAGAGCAGCCACCTCCGTAGGCCCGAAGGACAGGCCACTGCAGCATGGACGTCCAGCCCTGGAGCCATTTCGTAAGCCACTGGGGCCTGGCACAGCCCCAGGACGAAGGCCAGCTGGCCCCGCCACTCTGCACTGAAGTGCCACTGCAGCACGGACGTCTAGCCCTGTCCTCGGGAGCCCTGGAGCTCTGTCTCTGGGCCACGATGGGCCCTTGCTCAGTCTCTCCCGCATGAGCAGAAGGCAGGTGCTGGGCGTCCCTTTCCTAGGGAAGGGCGTCTCCCTCTGAGCAGCGCTCTGATGTGAGGGCACACTCGCGCCTGTGCTCAGGGGACCCGCCAACGCCTCGCACGGACGCCCACGCCGCCGCGCCTCGTGAGCTCGTGTCCTGCCCCGATGTCATTTCTGCGGTCAGTGTCTTTGTCCCGAATCCTGTGCACAGCGGGGAGGGGCTGTCCAGAAACCCAGCGGTCCGCCCTAGAGAGCGAAGCCATTTCTGAAGCTGAGTTCTGGCTCCCTCTGAGGTCAGGGCTTCCTGAGGGGAAGCTCTCCTACACTGTGCATGGGCCTCTTGGCGGTTCCTCGTCCAGTTCTAGAACAGAGCGTTCATTGCCTCCCACCCACCGCCTATCTATGTGCCATCACCCACTTGTCATTGTCACCACCCACCCTCCAGCTATCGCCCATCGGTGATCTCGCTCGCTGTCTGTGACCCTGACGTCGCACATCCGCCAGCTCTCTGTCACCTGGCGACCCAGCCTCCTGTGCCCTTCCCGACTCACTCCTTGAGCCGAGGTCCCTCTGCAGTGGGGGGTCCAGAGCGATGAGCAGCCTGGCGGTCGTAGGAATGCCCAGGGCCCTGGTGCTGGCCTGCACAGGTCTTGGCTTCTGCTCAGGGTCTCAGGCTTCCCGGCTTGACGAGAACTCACTCAGCCACACTGTGGGCCCAGAGGGTGAAGGACACACTTCCCTGTGTGGTAGTTGGAGTAGGAGACGTCTCAGAGCCAGCCTGGCAAACCCCCAGGTACCAGGTCACAGGACATACGGAGCTGCCCGTGCCTTCTGCCCACAGCTCTAAGGAGGAACCCCAGGCTCCTTAGAACACCCAGCACCCTGCCGTGAGGCAGCTCTCCCCAGACAGCCCCTGGCCAGGCCACAAGTGTGCCCAGCCTTCCGCCTCCAGCCTCGGAGCAGTTGCTGAGGTCCAGGTGGACGCTTCGGGAGAGGCCGGCCTTTGCCAGGGCATGGAGCCCTCTCACCCTGTGGGAAGTGCTAGCGTGACGGTGCAGGTGGCTGACTCTAGGTGTTCCCACCCCCGAGACAGACAGGAGACAGCGCCCACTCCCCGTATACACTTCCAGACAAATTCTGAGCTCTAGCTTTCTTACTGATCCCCTTCTAGTTTTCTGAACAAACTCGTCATGTAATCCTCCACCTCTTTCCAGCTATTGCCAACCCTGTGGATTTATGAGGCTGTGAGAGGAGTGGCGTATTTCCCACGTGCACGTGCGACACGCAATGGATCTCCATGTGGAGACCTGTGGATTCACATCCCGTGCTGTTGCCATGGGGCTGCTGGCAGCCGGGCACGGAGTGGGGCCCTCCGCAGAGTGACTTTCCCTGGCCTCGTGTGGGCGTTGCTTGCTGGAGCCACCTTGCAGCCTGGTCATTATGCCCTTGAAGGGACGCTGGCCTTGGAGAAAATGAAGGCCCAGGCCACGCCCTCCAAGACGGCCACCAGAGGGGTGGTCGTGGAGGATGCTGGCTGGAGGAGGAGCAGACCCACCTCGGAGGGAGGCACTCGGGGCTCAGGCAGATCTATGTCCTGGGCGCAGCTCAGCACCAGCGCCTCCCGTCAAGGTCTCGTGTTCATGCCTTTGCTCAATTCCCAGTAACAGTTGGGCCAGTAAATCTGGACGCTGGCCTCGAGAAGTCATCTTTCATAGCGATGATGTCTCGGTTACACCCTGCCTTTAATTTCCCCGCATCCCGGAGCACAGCTCCTCCTGCACAGACTGCCCACGAGCCGGTCCTTGGGTTCCCTCCCCTGGGTGGCTGCGGCAACCCTAATAAAACGTGTGAAGGCTGCCAGGGCAACGGTGACCACGCACACGTGGGGAGCTCGGCAGGCCTGCCTGCACCCTGGCTGTCCC